CTTTGAGGCTGAGGGACTGTGTGAAAAGTATGAAGACAAACCTGAGCTCTGAGCTTGGTGGATGACTTTGATCAGGCATCATCTCTCAGCCCATTCCATTGCACAGGATTTTTGAGGGGGTAAAAGGATAGGAGACTGTCTTAAGCATTTGGAAATAGGGCAGAAATTATATACAATAATTAACTAATATGAAAATGATGCTAGCTTTTCTGCTGGAAGAATTGATGTTGAGGAGGAAAGAAGAAAAAAGGCAGGAATGAACCACTTTAGCTGTGAGGTGCATGTCAGGAAAGAGGGCTCCAAGCATCCTTTTTTTGTGTGGGCGGAGCGCCTTCGAGTCAGTGTTGACTCCTGGCGACTGCTTGGAGAAGTCCCTGCAGTTTTCTTGGCAAAGTTTTTCGGAAGTGGTTGGCTGAGAGAGAGAATGGGACTAGAACTCATGGTCTCTCAGTTTCTAGCCTGATGCCTTAACCACTATACCAAAATCTTACAAAAGAATATTGCATACTTCATTCCAGAGTAGAATACTGGACTAGATGGACAGAAGATGCTTCCAGAAGAAAGATGGAGGGGGCTGTGCCAGAGGACGGGGTTATGAACTTCAAATGGGAATGGAGAAAAGATTTTAGCTCCTCTTAGTGCATGATAGCTGATCCAGACTGTGGTTCAACATGCCTTCTTGTAAGTGATTAAACAGAATGGAAGCGACGTTCTGCTTCTTAAACATATAGTTGTTTGCTTAAATTACTGTAGTGAACTCAAACTCTTGACAACATGATCTCCCTATCTTAAATTTTGACTGCATATATTTATGTGATGCATGGTTAATATCTTTTCTTAATGAAACTCATGGAAATATAAACTGTAATTCCAGAGCAGAAAGATCCTTACAGCCCTGTTGGAAGTAATAAAAGTGGCATTTTAATCACATCTCATGGAAAAAAAAAACCCTCTAGTGACATTAGGGCTCCCATAAATAATTAGTCATATATGAGGGCTATTGTTCTAAAATCTAAATCTGTGAGCAGATTTTGGCCTTCTAAAAAGCTTAGGCAAAGCATTTCAAAACTAGAGTTCTGTTTTTGTGATTTCGCAGAGAGAGATTGTTGTTATAAAAAGCAGACCTACCAAATCCCCCAACATGTAAAACAGCATAGTAGCTCTTTTCAAATACTGAAAAATATGTGGTAGCTAATGATTCAGTATCCTAGCTGCAAGTTCTGACTTCAGTGTGTGTGTATGTATATTCCATACTAATCCATTTTTGATGGAGAAATTATGTCTATAGTAAAGGAATGTTTAGGCAAATGCTGGGCCTTTTTTTATCATTTTCCTTCAACTTCATTGAAAAGAAAGTCCTTTTCACTTCCCCAACAAAGGATTCTCATAGATGGATACAGGTTTTTTGTCCTTACCTTTGTTTTAAGGTGGGCAAGTTGTGTGAATGTCCCGAGTCTTATTTTAATAATGTGTTGTCCACAATCTTCCTGGTTTCCTGTGCTTCAATTAAATCCCCAATTAAAACATTATTAGAGAACAATTCCAAGGGCCTTTTTCACATTAGGATGTGCACGCAACTAGGAGGCTGCAAAATTATTTAAGGGTTCTTTGAAAAAAAACTCCAACAACATCTTCCACTGCCTTGCAACAATATAGTAAACCAAAAGCACTATCATAAAAAAAGTTAAGAATAAATTCAGGACTATCTTGAAGATAAGGCACAAAATAAGAAGGAAGAGATCTTTCAAGAAATAGGGAGGATTGGTATTAGGACAGAATTGGTTTAGACATCACCCTAAGTATAGGGAACACATGCCATCCTGTCCTTTGGCACTTACATACAGCAGAATTCTTATCCCATCTCCAACTTGATCATAACTCATTCGAAAGCCAAACTTCAATGATTGTGATGGAATGTATCTATGAGCTGGGAGGTGGTGTGATGGAATGCAGTGGAGAACCAGGTTCTCAGGAAGGAGGGAGGAAAGGAGGGGAGACAAGAGGCAACTCAGTCCAGAGCAGGACTGTAGGAAGAGGAAGAGACTTGGGATCTTCCAGGGTATATCCATTAGGTTAGCATAGTACAGATTTAGTCTGGCAAGATTCTGTCTATATGGAAGTAGCAATAAAAGAATTGATTGAAGTCAGGCCCAGCACAAGAACAACAGGAAAACAATACAACCAAGTTCAATTCTTTTATTGCTTACACCATGTAGACAGAATCTTGCCAGACTAAATCTGTACTATGCTAACCTAATGGATATACCCTAGAAGATTCTAGGAAGTGGCTAGGTCTCTTCCTCTTCCCACGTTCTTGCTCTGGACTGGCTTGCCTTTTGTCTCACCCCTTCCTTTCCTCCTGGAATGTGCTCCCTCCATCTTGAGAACCTGGTTCTCTACCGCATTCAATCACAATGATCTTCAGATGCTGAGGGCAGGGAATACCTTGCAGCCATCAGTGTTGCCTCCAGTTGACCAATAGGAGAGTCCAAAATCAGGATTCAAAAAGGACCTCATTCTCTGACACAGCTCCTGAAGTAAAGATCCCCTTGTCTGTGCTCTACACAGAAGAGCATGAAAATACATTTCCAGTCCATGTTTTCATTAGATGTATGCATTCATCTTTGCAAAGAGAGAGATGGGAGGTTGGGGCAGCAGGTGGGGGGTCCTTTTGTTTCTGCTAAAAAGCCTCAACTAGCTATGTTGCAGAAAGATAGCATGGCAGCATCTCTGCAAGCAGGCATTTTTCAGCACAGCTCTAATCATGGTTGTAGGTTACATTTTAGAACTACTATGTGTGTATAGAGAAGACGGTAATGGCCCACTTGAGAACATAGGTGAGGAGGCAGGTAAGTCTAGAATTCAATCCATGATGCTTATATAAGCAAAGAAAATCAACTCAGGCTCAGTTCTTTATAAAGAGATTACAAAAATGACTAGAAACCTGGGTGGGAGGGTCAAGATTGCGTTTGTTGATTTGGTTTCCAGTATTCCTTCCCTAGCATAGTTTGACTGCAACACTCTCTGAGCAAGGACTTACTTGCCCCCTAGTGTTGGGAGGCATATTAAAGCAAGAGCAAAGCCAGCAGAAAATTACTAGCTTAACACTGCAAAAACAAAACAAAAAAAACACACTCTCCACCTTTGCTTTAATTTCAGATAAACCAGTGCAGGGGCCTGGGTTAATGCATAGAGAAACCGACACTGCTGGGAACTCTCTCCTCCCTTGCCACTTCTCAACACAGTGTGCCACCTATGTGGCTGAAGAAGTAACCAGGCTTTTAAGCACAAAACCCATGTCTTGAGAATCTATAGGAAAACCTACTGAGAAGAATAAATGAGATGAACTTTAGAAATTGGAGAACTCCTATGTACTTGAGTACAGCGTGAACCCAGTCTGATTTAGCTCACAGTAAATGTGCATAAGATTGCTGCACAGATTAGTTAATCAGAGTGATTAATCATCTAAAGCTTGAATTGCAAATTAGAATTGCCTCTCAATTTATTGACAATAAACAAAGACTCTGGGATGAGAAACACTTAAAGGGCCTTCCATCACAGCAGGCATTCAACTTGGCTGCTTAAATCCCATTAATTTCACTTGCTTCTACAGATACACCCCACCCAGCATATCTATTTTGTGAGCAGCAAGGCATTTCTACAGGGACATAATCATTTCTGCCTGCTCTGGATTCTTAAACATCTCCTTTGGTGTCATAATACACGTTTTGAAGTAAAGACGGCAATTTACATGGCACTGAAATTTTCCAATCTTTCTTAACTGCCAATAAACTTTTCCTGTGCCTAGGTTCTCCATTATAATTTCCTTTTCACACTATAATATCTGCCATATAATTAAGCCTTTCACAGCAGATTGACCCAGTCAGGATGTCAAGCACAGGGACATTTAAGTATATTTACTGAAAAGAAATTATGCTAAACTCAAGTATATATCCCAGCTGGTTGCAGTTTTACAGTCATGGTACCTACTGCTACTTACAGATGCAGGTTTAAGAATAAGTACATACTTAGCACAACACCCCTTTTTCTTATTTCTATTTAAAATGTACAGCTTTATAATGAGCAGACAAATTATTCCTCTTCTTGGAAACTAAAATCTTTCTACTGTAGGTATAATAGGTTTAGCCCAAACCAAAATAATTAATACAATTTTCTCTTTTATATACAACAAAAGTAAAAATCCCTACAAGCACAGCTCAGTTCCTGGTGATTACCTGGATGCAATCATGCAGTTTTCTTGGCAAGACTGTAGAGATGTTTTGACATTGCTTTGTTCTGAGATGTGTTTTGGACTTTCTAGTCTAGCCTATAGCCTTGAATTTCCAAGTACTAACTAGGTCCATCTCTCATTACAGTCTGATGTCAGATAAAAGAGGCACTTGCAGACAGGTTTCCTTCACTTTTTAGAGTTGTGTAAAAAAAGGGAATATCATTGGGTCCAGCTTCTCACGAAGCAACTCCTGCTGAAATATTTTGAAGTACTAGACTCTAATGAAACGGAATGCCAGAACACTTTGACAGATAAATGGAAATGCTTCATATAGCTCATAGTTAACCGTACAATTATATAGAGATGATCATCCACCTGGCTAACTTTAAAAGAGTTTGAACAAATACTTGAAGGGAAAGACTGTGAAGGGCTAATGTCATATTAAGATCAGGATAAATCAGAGTCAGAGGCAGGTTGGTTGGTTGGTTGGTTGGTGGAAGGGGAAAGTATAATTAATTTAGTAATTATTTCAATTGTTTTGTTCATGATGTGAATAACTAGGCATGTTTCTTCTTGTTTAATTTTACATTACATTGTTCTAATGCTATACCTATGAATTATTAAAAGAAAGCATTACTGACTATTAAGATATAGCTCAGCAAAATGGTTCTGTTTTCATCCTGTGTCTTTTGCTTAATGGTTAACTAATTCTTTGACAGAAGAGGTTCAGACTTATGATTTACACTCATATTATTTTTGTATTCCACAGTTACAATATCCACGAATACTTCAGAAACTACTGGTAAGCAACAATATGTAACCATATTACAAAAATAACGGCATCCATTGGGGTGGCTTTGTATTCCTATTATTTTGAATGGTTACTTATAGTTATAAGACAGTTACTCTCCCCCTGTAAAAGGGTGTGTGGGTGTGAAATGGTCTTTATGTGAACCTGAATATCACAATAATGATTTAATTAATAACTGAATCTGTGGAGCAACAAAACTTCAGTAAATAAGGAACATCTAGACTCAACAAAAATTTGAAATCTGTAAAATAAACATCAATGGATTTGAATATTGTCCTATTAATCTTGATAACGAAATGGACTTGATCCTTACATCTGTAGCTCTAAGCTTCTATAAGATTTAATAGAGACAGATAGTACCTTACGTGGACCTCAAAAACCATAGTATGGCTAATTATAGAATAAGTAACTATTATTGATATCCACACTATCAACGTTGCTATACCACATGCTTGTATGGTTTACTGAGGCACTATGCTCCGCAGCATTTACATCTAAGTGCTGGGATTCCCTTTAGTTACCCTTCATTGACAACTAATGTCTTTGCATAGCTGGGAGTTTGTACTTAACCATGTGGAAGAAGTTTTCCAACAGACAAAGCATTTTCAGGACCTTGGAGAGCACATCACAAAAAGCTACACCAAAAAGGCAAATCCAGCCCCTGTTATCAGCTGAGGACTTCACAAGACTGGCAGAGCCAAGAAATCCTTTTTAGCCCCACTCCTACTTGCTGTTGCCTTTAAAACTAACCCTTTCTGAAGCCTTAAACTCCTGCATGGCTGATCAGCTCATTCAGAAGTTATGGGAGAATCATCTGAACTGAATTATCTTCAAGCTGAGATGGCACAAACAAGGGTGATGATGGTTTCCCCAGAATTGACTAGCCTTGGATTTATCATATGTAGAGTTCTTTACAGGCTTTCGTTGAGCTTCTGATTCTGTTGACATGACATCCCAGCAGTTCTACTATGCCAATCATTTAATTGGCTGGTACTGAATTACTACATGAAACTAAACAGCCAGGATGGTCAATACAGTTGTGAGACTGTTGGACCAGATCCATAGCTTTCTGGTAAAAAGTTACCTTCATCCATGTAGGTTTTGCACTATCTTTCACATTTATCTTACCCTACATAATGTCTACCCTCTGTGTTGGAGTATAATGTCCACATTCTCTACCCAGCATAGTTAACATTCAATTCATTAGAGAGCACCAAGTTGGGGATAAGTTCTCTTCCCAGTTCACCTTATGAGCTTAAATGGGGTAGTAGTAAGAATGCTTTACATTACAAAGTGCAAATAATAAGGTTATGAATTAATCTTTAGATGCCTATTTTGCTGCAACATTAGTTTACACTTAAAGATTTTTTAAAAAATTTAAATAATTTAACTTAAAACCATCCAGTACAAGAGCAGACTGTATATCCAAATCAAATGACAGGCATATACTCATCAGTATAAGTCTATAAGGAAATTGGTGTCCTATTACATTCTCCAGACTCTTAAATATGCTTTTGGGGTTGTTGTTGTTGTTGTTATTATTGTTGTTGGTTGCACAGTCAGCCAGATGTTTAGACTGGGTTTGCATTTTTATCCACCTATTGAGTCCTTCCCAAGAACCTGGGATAGGCAAATGCTGTTCGATGGTGTTAAAGGTATCGTTGCAGGATATAAGCTGTTCCAAGTAAAGCTGCCTTTTGCAATTGACTGATGATGATTTTGTCAATGCCAGTGGTATTCAAGTGGTGCTCCACATGTTTTGGGATTGCACTCAAGGTGGCTATTACTATTGATACTATCTTTGCTTTCTTTTGCCACAGTCATTCTACTTCTATTTGCAGGTCTTTATA